ACTAACAGAGTCATTAGGGTCAATCTGCTTTGATCAATCTTCTTCTTCTTCATCTTCTTCTTTTAGGTGCCTTGTCCGCTTCGAACGTTAGCTAACATTATTGCTATTTTGACTTTATCTACAGCCTCTCGAAAAAGTGATCTTGTACTTTTATTGAACCATTGACGTAAATACTTCAGCATGATATTTTTCGTCTTTCAGGGCCACGTCTGCCGTCGATCAATCCACACATTCAAAACAGTTCATTCAGTAAATTTTATAGTGAACTAAAATATTATTGTTTAAAAAAACAATAACCTAAACAGATGAGGGGCATATTAATTTAAATGGAATCTCACACCACCTATGTAATTGATCGAAATATGATTTAATGAATGTGATTGCAATGGGATAATGTATAAGTATTGTTAAACTATCTAATAGCCGAATTGATATGACTACAATTGAGTCTATCAATTGATATGAATAGAAAGCGACAGTCTGTTTAGTCGACATAATACCATAGGCTATAAAGTTATAGATAAGCATAGATAATTTTAATTTTTTTCGATGAGTGTAATATAAGAAAATTATTCCCATGATGGCACAGTTGGTTATAATTGATCTGGAACATAATCTGTATGTGATAAGATTCAAAGCAGCTGTTTTGTGATATTCAATCTCTATTTGGACAAATTTCTTATCGTTGAATAAAATATATATATTATATGGCACTAGAAACTAAACAGCAGTTCAGATAATCGATTTCACAAATCGTAAACTGATTCCTTATACTTTTTGCACTTATCTTCAAGAAATTGTGTTCTATAATCAAAGCCGTGTAAATGGAAAACCGAAAAGGAATTTGACTCTAGAGATGAAATATTCGCTATATTAAATATTTATTCATAAACCTTACTGTTTGGAAATTGTCTAAAATTTAAACTGCTTGCGAAATGATATTTAACCTCTATTGATTATTTACTACAATCAATCATTTATATATTTAAAGTCAATCATTATGTTTTTAATTAAATTTATTTAAAATGATTAATCAAATAAAAAGCAATTCAATTAAATATACTTAATTAAAAATAAAAATAGAAAATATATATAACTTTTGATTTTTAATTATTTTTATCAATTGTTATTTGGCCTTCAAGAAAGGATACACTTTTAATTTCATTATATGACTCCATTGATACTTGAAGTTTTGTTGTATTCTATTATTAGAGTAAGGCATTAAAAAAAGCACTTAATTAATAAATAAAAATTTATTAACTGGCTTAGAATAAATTATGCCATAAAAATGACATTCGCTTTCATTATCAGTAAAAAAAGGTAAACAAATGTTTTGAAAATGAAATTAGATATTTGAATAATTGATTTTGTATGAATTTTTTAATATTTAATGTAAATAATATTGTTGAAAAATGCTTTAAAAATGAATTATTTTATTTAAGCATAGATATGATTAGACAGAAAAACAAATTTATATAAAAAAAATTATTATGTTTATTACATGTGCACGAGTTTAACGTAGCGTATGAGTAACATTTTATGTGGAAGTTAAAAAAGCTTATTTTTTCTAATATTCTAATTCTAATTAAATTTTTGAAAAAACAGAAAAAGTTATTTAATGGTACCGACACATAGTATTAACAATATTTTAATGTATTATTATTTTAGATATTATTTTATTTAAATAATTAATTTTATATTTAATTACAGAAGAGGCAATAATACTTTTTATTGGCACAACAGGGCTTAGAGACCTACTCTAAACCCAGAAAGGCGCACAATAGACTCGACGTAGTGTCTATTTTACTTAATATAAATTATTATTTACGAATAATTCAATATAAGAAATAATTCCAAGACCACTGATGATGGGTATTTGGGACAATATTCGAAAAAGCTGTATGGGTCATCCAAAAATTCAATTAATTAAAAATAAATAAAAATTTTGTTGTTACAAATCAATACTGTTTGCAACCTTTCTAATAACACTATTTTTTAAATAGTATTTTGATAATACAAGTGAAACATAATGGAATATCAGAACAGAAATTATTTATTCTGTTTTTCCTATTAAATAGAAAACTATAAACTTATATACATATAATTAAGACATATAATTCTTAATTCACAAAGTACCCGTAGTACATAATATGAAAAATCAGCTTAAAAGAAACTATATTTGGGAAGGACATGCTGTATATAAATTATAAAGGTAAGTAACAAACCCAACTTGTTAAGATTATCTGAAATGAGACTTGACATATGTAATCGTGTAATCGACTGAGTACTACACTCTTCTGATGTGACACAGTGTGACTATTTTTGTTCCAGAAGTTAATATTATTAATTCGCGGAAAGCGATTCGTCAAATCAAATGTAGTCATAAAAAATTATTCACTAAAAGACTTGTAAACCGTACCTAAATCAACCAACTAATAATGTGTGGAGAATAGTTATTTTGCACTGGATGGAGTCTACTTTAACTTTAAAGGTAAAAACTTGATTGTATTTTAGTGTTTCATTTCGGATATTTTCTACACAAATTGTATAACTATTGAAAAATATACTGTATGTATTCAAGATATCAGTAGTTGCAATATATAGGACGAATATGAAGTATAGTTATATTGCACTCCTTTAGCTTCTTTAACTTTGAAAACACAAATTGTATAAATAATGAAAAATCTGATGTGTTTTTTTTTTGAAGATATTCCATCAGTAGTCGCAATATATAGTACGGATTTGAATAATAGTTGTATTGCATTGGATGGAGACTCCTTTAGCTTTAAAGGTAATGAACTTAATTAAACTTAATTGTATTTCTGTGTTTTATTTCGGATATTTTTTACACAAATTGTATAAATACCGAAAAATTGATTGTCTTTATTTAGTAGCCACAATATCATCATTATCATTAATGGCCCAAGGATCCTAGTTGAATCGTGACCGCCTTAGTCACACTATATAATACGGTTATTGCTGCTTTGTAAGAAAGGTTTATACATTTCACAAATATGTGGACGATTGTCTGGTTTCAGGTAGCCATATATGCCATTTGAATAACTTTTTAGATCCTATTCTATTAGGATAACCTATTCTCCGCTGTCCAAGCTTCATTTTCATGTATATAAGTGGGTGTTATTGAGAAATTTCATTAGTTAATGTGTATAGGCCATTAGACTACACTTTCAAAAATCGTCTTTTGGTACTTTTAGAATTCCAAA